GCTCGAACAGAAATAAAGAGTTGAAACAACTTTCTTTTTTTCGTTCTCTTTCTTATCGATGATCTTGAGGGTGGGTGTGCGTGTGAGCGTCAGTGAACAGAAGATGCCCACACCCTCAACGAAAAAGAAAAGGAAAATTTCACAATTAACTCAATAAAATACTGTTTTAATCAAACTTTCATTAAATTTGAAACAATTAGTCTTTTTTCTTTTATTTAAATAAAAGATTTTCATTTAGAAATCAATTAAATATTTTTGAATTCGATGATTCCAAACGTCAGCGACATAAAGATTTCCTTCAGCATCAAATGATAAACTAGCGGGAGCATTCAATTGATTTGATTCATCTCCTACACCATTTTCCACCAATTCATTTCATCTCACGATGATTGAATCTATCTAATACATAAACAGATTGATCTTCATCAACAAAGAGAGAATCTGGATGATTGAATTGATTAAGACCATTTCCATATCCATTGTCACCGGCAACTATTCTTCCATATTGATCTCCTTCTATCCACTGTCTCACTTCATTATTGTGCCAATCAGAAATATAGATAAATCCATTTTTATCTATTGTCAGACCCCCACAACCAATACCAGAAATAAGAATTGGTTCTTTTATTTGATTTTGATAAAACCATCGCATCACTCGTGCGTTTCCTGGATCACAAGTAATCCAAGAATTATTTTGCTTGTCAAAAATCACATCTGTTGGCCATGTGAGCTGATCATTTCCATTTCCATCTACAATGACTTGACCATTCTTTGAATCATGTTTCCATGCAACAATACGCTTATTCTCAGCTTCAATAATATAAATCGTTTTTTCATCATCAATAAAGATTCCCATAGGGCCTGCAAGTTGATTTAATTCGCTTCCTTCTCCATTTCCTCCAGCAACAGCTATTCCATTTAGGATTCCTTTTATCTAAAACACATGAAAACTATACTTATACATATCTTAAGAATGCGGATGAGGATGCTACATTTATCATCGTCACTGGATACCAAAGCGACCGATCATCACATTGAGGATGATGAACGCAAATCGTATTAGACTGAAGACACGAGTTGTCTGAAGAATTGCATGGTACAAGACGAGAACATGTTGGCCACAGAAAACCACAAACGCCTGTGTTATCATTAGCATCTGTCATATGGAAACATCTACAGGCAGTATTTGAGGAACATTCACCGCATTGTGGTGTTTTTTCTCACATATTTGAGATTTGATTTGAACTATGAAAGTGATAAACTAATACATATGAACATATAAAAATAGAATAGAAATCAAACCTGTTATGCTAAAATATAAAATGAATGCATGTCAATAAAATTAGTGATAAAAATCAATAGTTATTTACCTGAGAATAGTGAAAACAATATAACAATAGATTTTGATTGTATTCATAGTTGATTTTAAAATAAGAGAATATGATGAAAAAATGTGTGCTTTTACTTCTAAAACACAGAGGGGATCTTAACTGAATCGTTCTGATTCTATCCTATAACAAATACAATAAAAGTATACCTAAAAAGTGCATAGATCATCATGTGAAAAAGTTAAGATTCAACTGGTATTATTCTATTTTCAACGAGAGACGTGTTGTTTTTGTATACTTTAAATATGAAACATATCAATAATGGTAGGCGTAGGCTGTTTACAGCCTCGTATTCATCAACTATAAATTTTTCTTCCCTTTATTAACACAAAAAGTGATATTTATCAGCATTTGCTATTTTGAACATTGGAAAAAACTATTGTTTTTAAATGTAATTTCAGATATAATTTTGATTTGTATTTAATAAGACAAGGTGAATGTTTTTTGAATAGTATTTGTTCGATATAGTACAAATACATAGAAGAAAAGTAATTCTCGATGAAAACAATTACTTGCAATTCTATGTGACATTAGCAATATCTTCACCAGAACCTTGAGGGTGTAGGTATGACTTAAGTGAACTTTCGTTTTTTTTGTAGTGAATGAAAAATAAAATTTCATAATTAACATTGTCGTCAAGTATTTTTCATATTCTATTGAAAGGACAGCGTTCTTTTTAAGAATGATATCACAAAGGACCATTTTATCAAGGATATTTACTCTGAAGGACATATAAGATTGTCTCCATCTTCATATAATAAAGAATGTGTAGGAGAGCAAGTTTTATTTTTTGAGATAAGTTTTGAAAAAAAGAGAACGATATCATAAGTTTGCCAGTAACCTTGTTGCTCTATTTGTTCATGTATGTGTATGCCATCTCTTTTCTTTCTGTTGTTGTAATCTTCTCCAGTCGGTTGTTCTTTTTTTCTCATTTCTTTTTCATTTACTTACCAAACATTAAAAATAGAACAACGACGATATTTCTTTATGTTCTCTCTAAGTATTCTATTGTTCATTTTTACTATTTCGACTCTATACTTGACATCGGAGGCTGGGTTTATCAATGAACAACCCTCTGTTCGACTTATGAATGCCGTTCATGGAGAGGTTCTTATGCCTGTCGTAGGACTTGGCACAGGAGGATATGGCAATCCGAATGGTACTGAAGGTGAATATTGGGGACCTGAACAAGCCCATAATTCTACAGTTGTATGGTTAAAATTGGGTGGAAGACGCATTGATACAGCCTATGGCTATGGTTCACGCGACGGAGTCGGTACAGGATGGGTGGCTAGCGGTGTACCTCGCTCCGAAATATTCATCACATCTAAAGTGGATCCGTCTGGGTATGCTGAAACCCTCGAAGAGTTTGCTATTACTCTCAAATCTCTGAAGACTGATTATATCGATCTTCTTCTCATACATTGGCCGGGCGCCCAACCAGGCTCGTCCGGTCAACCAATTCCTTCATGCAAGCAAGGGAAATCAACTTGGGCCGACTGTCGTTTTCAAACATGGCAAGCATTAACAAAACTATTCGATGAGAAACGTGTAAGAATTTTTCGGAATATAGGAGAGAGGATAAGAACGAGCCAATGACGATGCTATTGATAGAGTCGTACTATTATCGATACACATATGAAGAAAAAGCTTGATTCAGTCACATGAGTTCATCCTCAAAAATAGAATAGACAAAAGTGTATAAATCACGCAAAAAAACGTTGCTGAAAATGAAGTCCTATTAATGATCTCTTTTTGTTTAGGTTCGTGCGATAGGTGTGAGCAACTTTGAAGTAAATCATTTATTAGAAATTATTAATTTAAATTCTTCTATTCCTAGTGTCAATCAAGTACGTTCGCTCGATAAAATATTCTCTTCATTACTATTGTCTTTCAACAGGTTGAATTTCATCCATATTGGCATGAAGATGAACTTCTTGATTTCTGCAAGAAACATAACATTACTTTCAATAGCTATTCTCCAGGTGGTGCACCGGATCACGCAGTAACGCTTGGTCCCACTTGGAATCCTATTCCAGATATGCGCAAGCATCCTAATATTACTCAAATTGCACAGAAGCATCAAAAGACGCCTGCACAAGTAATATATCGATGGCAATGGCAGCAAGGTATCGTCATTAATCCTCGCACTCTTAACTCAATACACATGTTGGAGAATCTGTCGATATTCGATTTTGAACTCGATCTGCAAGATATGATGACTTTGGCCTATTTAGATCATCCAATCACCAAAGTTGGCAATGATCCAAGACTAATTTTGTAGAAAATTGCAAAATCAATCAACATACTCTATTATACGTTTGTCAATAACATCAGTATGAATAGACATCTTTTTTTAAGCTTTTTTTTCTCATTTATTTGATTTGTTACAAATGACGAGCAAATTAGGCATCGGATAATCTATATATGATTGTTAATTTAACGTACTTTAGCATTTATCTCTTTATAAAACAAAAATAATTAATTGTAATCAATGAATAATATAAATTTGGTCTGACTAGTTTTTCTTTTTTATTACCTGAAAAATGTCATTGTGAAAAGGCGGATGTGGGTGTGAGTGTGTTTATAGCTATCATATATATATATATATACCACACCCACACCAACAACCTCACCCACCCTCACCCACCCTCAAGATAGTTTGTTTTATAAGCCACCCTCAAGAATATGAGATTATACTGTTTTGTAGTACTTCAAGTTATTTTGCAAACATCTGTATTCTAGAGTAACACGAGAAATCGTGCAACAATTAAGGTACGAATAAGCAATAGTCAAAAGTATATGCTAACAACAACAAATAACGATAACGACATGAACCTTTTTTTTGAATAAAATTGATTTTTATAGTTTATTTTTTGCTAGAATAGATATTCATATTTTTATGTATAAGCAGAAGCAGTGTCAAAATAAGCAATTTTTATGCGAAAAGAAATGCAAGTTCAACATAATTTGAAAATGTTTCTGATAAATATAATGCAAATATGTGTCAACTATATGATCATGAAACGCTGAACCCGACTATTACCATTGTCAGCAACATAGAGAAAACTTTCATTCAGACTCAATGCCAAACCTGCTGGACCATTAAACAGCATTGGTGAAGTCCCTGAGTAACTATCAATACCAGCGAAAGTAACGCCACTTGTTGCGCCAATATACCATCGTGTAACTCGATTATTATATTGGTCAGCTATGTATATGGCATCGATGTTCTTTGAAAAACGCACATCTGATGGGTTGTTGAGCTGGTTATTGTTTGATCCGGCGCCATTTCCGCCTGCTACTGTAATAGCATTTGTTGAACCACCTAATACTATTCTTTGAATACGATTATTGCCACTATCAGCAATATAAAGATACGAGTGTGGCTCATCAAGAGAAAGTCCACCTGGATAACTGAGTTGATCGCTGTTAGGGCCTTCACCATTTCCACCTGCCACAAGTAGACTGCTTGTAGCACCTGGAGTCCATTTTGTCACTCGATGAGTGTATTTTTCGGCTACATAAATATTTCCATGAGAATCAACCGTAAGTCCAAGAATTTCAGCTATTTCACTTAGTGTCTCTCCGTAATAACCTGCTCCAGCCACTTGAGTACCACTAGATGATCCATTTCTCCAAAACATTACACGATAGTTTTTGCTATCACCTACGTATATATTTGCTAATGCATCGACATACAGACCATTTGGATAATCTAATTGGTTAGCGTCATTACCCCAAGAATCTGAACCTGCGACTATTGTACCCGTTGTAGAACCTTCACGCAGTCGCATTACGCGGTTATTACCAGGATCAGCAACGTAAATCGAACTATCCATGCCCACAGCTAATGAATCTGGGTAAGAGAGAGCATTATTATCTGAACCGGCTGTGCCATCTGAGTAACCTCCAACAGTGGTTCCGTTCTGAAGCGATAATGCTAAAAAACAGACATAAAATATTATACGAAAATTGAGTACATAGTATCAACTATAAATATAAATGTACTCAATCTAAGAAATTAGCATGGAAAGACAATGTCGATTGAAATCGCCGATGTGAACGATTACAATAACAATAGATTTAGTTATCTGAAAGATTTCTTTAGTGAATAATATAAATTACTTACGGCCGCATTGTAGACGTGGTAAACAAGTGTAATTACGATCAATGCGACAATCTGTTTCATTTATACATACATCTCCCAACAGTTTTTGACTTCGACAAATTGATCCATCAAAATATGTATTAGACTGACATTGGCATGTTGAATTAATGCATTGAAGATATCGACTATCTTGACAAAGTGAACAAGGATGTCCGTAACTAGTGAATTGTACAGGTTCAAGAGCAATTGATCCAACAATTGAATGAAGTGAAGGTGAAGGAATAATTGAGCCGGTAGTCGCTGAATCGCCTTGAAAAATTCGGCAACGATTGGATGCAATGTCAAAATCAAATGTGCGACAAAGTGCTATTGAATGACACGTTCTAGCACATGTGTACATAGAATCAACATTCATCTCCTGTAAGAATATAGCATTTATATCTTTAGGAGAGAACTCAACTCCTGAATTGGAGAAATCAACGAATGATTGCCAACCAGTAGGTATATGTTGAGTTTCAATAGTTATCAACATACAACTGATAAAAATAAATAAATCATGATGAATATGAAACATCTTTATACTACCAAGTCGATTTTATGAACGATAAATGATCTACAGTATATCAAAAAAGTAATATAAATATTGTGTTAAAATTACTTCAATTCATTGATAATATTAAAAACAAAATATATATTATTGTAGATAAAACCTTTGTTAGTGTAATATTTGTAAGAAATGATGGTATTGTTTTAAAATAAAAATAAGTGTATATTTTGTTTTAAACATTGTAACTGCGATACAACATATACAATAAAATAGAATAATAAATCTTTAAAAAATATATAAGAAAATGATATGAAAAAATATATTAAATGAAAAAATAGAGTAGTAAAGAATAAACTGGTATAAATAATTTCTTTTAACTTCTAATGGTGTGCTTCTTCCAAGCATGCGTTATGAAAAATCGGAAATTGATCCACATAATTTCCTGTTATAAGATGATGAGTTTCAGTAACACGTTATTTACTTGTTGAGAGTTTGTCCGTGCGAAAAAAATTAAGCATTTCATCATTGCCCACGCTTTTTCTTTTATATCATAAACAATATCGATGTGATAATTTATAAATAATTCCAAAAGCTGAATAAAATGCAGATATTGTGAATAAAAAGAAAATTGATCCACAGAGACTTTATATTAGTTTCCATATTTGTAACAATTCAATAGCTATTGTTTCAAGGGACAGAATGTGATTAAAGCTTGATTGAATTATAAGAGTTTAATCAAATTTTATATATATATACTAATTTAAAATATCTGTGTATAAATACTTCTTTAGTAGAAGATAATGAAAATGGATATGAATGAAGAGCTACCTATAAAATTATATAGGAAAACTTGCTCAGACTTTAAACTCCTGACATCTAACGTTTGAATCGTTTCGATTTCATAGGTTGGAAGGGACAATATGAATCATTTGTAGACATGTTGCAAAATATGTTGCAAGTACCGATGACGACTTAGATAGGAGAGAAAAAAATAATATTCTTTACTGTTTTTGCGTGATAAGCAAAGAGATTTTGTCGCTCTGTACGCGAAGACAAATATGATTTATTTTCAGCGTATTAAGTTGCACATGTAACTGTAAGAATAGAAAATATGAATTAGTTGTTACACTACTTTTTATAATGTTACAATTTATTTGTAGTTTTTCATCTTTTTTGTGTATTAAAAAAAGAAAGACCATCTTGAGGGTGTAAGTGTGTGTCTCCTTATATTGACCATTTGGTCATGATCACCGGGTTGCCTGTTTCCTTGTGGACGTCACCAAAAGTGAAGTTAACAAAGAAAGGATTCAATTGACGAATAGAATCTAAATCAAGGTCTTTTGGATAATATTTAACTCTAATTTGAATTCGTTCAAGGTTCGAGCAATGTTGAAGAATTCGAGCTAGTTTGACAAAATCACAATGACCATTAAAATCGATTTCAAGACTGTAAACATATGGAGCGAAGGTGATAAGCAACAAGTTCTTTTGATCAATAGGTTTTGATGATGAATCCATTTTCAATGAAACTTTGCTCAATCCATCATTACGCTGATGACAAAGTTTGGCCAAGATGAAACAAGATGAGGGAAATTCGATTTCGCTACCTAAGTAGTCAACAGTAATCGAATTTAATTCCGGGAGACGTTGAATGAAATTGGCTGGTGAGCTGCATGATGGTACCACGATGTGGATATGCCGAATTTTTGTGTTCACGGTGGTAGCAGAAAAATTTTCAAAGCTTGTATAATCGCACCAGATACGGCCAATGGATTGAAGATGAGGAAAGCGTTCTACTTCTTTACCTAACACAAATCGTTCAAGAAAAGTCGATGAATAGCTGTTGCAAGGAAGTGAAAGTCGAGTTAACTGGCGCATATTGATAAGCTGCTTGAACTGCTCTTCCGAACACTGAGCCAGATACAATGAACGAAGATTGACTAATGGAAGGAGATCAACAAACCAAGACGAAGAAGATATCACCATATTGTATCGATCGTCCTTGACAGACACCGTTTGCAAAGAAAAATGCGTCAAAATGTTTTTATGACAGTTATCATTCTTACTCTTGTGTCCGATGTGCATACTAATAGATATTGAGCGAAGAATCGCATTGATATGAGAGTTAAGATTCCGCCAAGCGTAGTAAAGGTCTAGCGGTCGAGTATAGGCGAACACTTCCAACCAGAGCTCGTCTGGCAAGAGCTCGATGCGCGACATTGTTAATTTATTCATGTTTGGCATAAATCACGGTTTTTTGCTGCCAACAACAGAGTATTATTATTGCTACACAACGTGGTGTTTTTTTTTATGTAGTGTTAGAAACGACTATTTCTCCGTCTTTTATCCGACAGTATTTAGGCAAGGAATGAGAAATAAGGACGGAAGAAGAAAGAAAGAAAAAAAAAGTCGGTGGCGGTATTTTTTTCATCAAAAACGTCAACAAAGAGTATCCGTGCTTTTTTCTCTTACACAATATTTCAACGGTGACTAATATCTATTTCAAATAGTTTTTTGACAGGAATATAATAGGGATCTGCAGTTTTCACTGTTAGAAAAAAAAAGTGGGTGGGTGTGGGTGTGTTTATAGCTATCATATATATATATATATATATCATACCCACACCCTCACCCACACCCACACCCACACCCACACCCACACCCACACCCACACCCTTACGCGACTCTCTGACAATTACAGTACTGCAATGCATACACATAATTTTTTTCTTTTCCGTATCAAGATTTTGGAGTACTAAATTTTGACGTTTTCTCTTCCAGTTGTCTCTCTTTAATAAAATTTCTTCTAGTAGAAGATCGTCTTTAGGTCTTAGTATAATAACAGCATAAGCCTCACGACTATCTTTTCCACGACGTCATAATGATTGTGCATCAAACCTAGCACTTACAAAAACAATTTCGTTTTTGTTTCTCTTTTGCTTCAAGCCCGATAGTGAACACCCATGCAGTCGTAATATGTCTGCTCATTTCGTTTGAACAGATATTTCTTGTTTACCGTAAACACAAATAATCATGTGTGTTTCACAATTGTAATTTTGAAGGGCAATGACCTGTTGATTTACGGGATGAGGTAACTGCGTATCTACATATCTCTGTCCGCATTCATTTTGGTTTATAGCATTTGCTTCTTTACCGATACTAGCAACACGAATGTTAAGCAAAGCTGCTACGATAAAAGGACGACAATCCTTGGTATCTGGATCTTTATGCCGATTATCATGGATATTCTCTTTAATTTCTCTGTAATCACGTTCTATGTCTTTTATTGGAATGTCAAAGCACCAGACGTATGTTGCTCCTGAAGTAGTTGGCTTATTCCATTTAGCCCATTCAAGAGGAAGAATAAAAGAAAAAACAATCTTACCTGAAGATGGCCAATGATGAGGATGTTGAGGATAGGATGATGATATAGGTATTTTATTTATGAAAATAAATAAACAAAACAAAAGAAAAAAATAACAACAGAAGAGAGGAAGAGTAAATGATACTTAAAGAAGCAAAAGATCAACTGAACTAACTTTAAATATACTGGAGAGAAACAAAAGTGGGGAAAATATATATATAATGAGAGAGAAAAACGGAGCAGAACGAAAAAGAATTTGGTGTTCGAAAACTACGAAGACATCAGGAAGGGAAGGAGCATATGGAAGCTTGATCACGAGCAGTGATCAAGTAAGTTAGCGGTAACTTAATGCATCTGTTATCGTGAACAGTACCTTGTCTAACAACTCACAAATTTGCGATATACCTCCTTTAATCCTACGTAAATGTTGATCACTTTTCAACCATGAAAGAAATTCAGGTCGCTGAAAACTTTCGGTCTTAGGGAAAACTCTAGAAAAAATTGTGGGAGACAGTTGTGAGCAATGTTTCTTTGCGCTAGTACTTGTGGATCTACCGGGTTGTTTCTTTCATTGGTTGTTTCCGTTTTGTTCTGTCGAATCTTTAATTTCACCACCAAGGATGACTGGATTGTCTTCGGTAGCATTGTGCACACTGATCTGATTATTATAAGTGTAAAATACGTCATTGGTGAACGAAGAAACTAAAACTGAATAAATAAATCGATAAACAGAAGAATTTTTTTGATAAATTTTGAATGTTAATTTTTTATATAACAATAGAAGATAATAGATTTATGTTCAGAATTGATGTATTGTAAATTGTTTGATGAGCGATATGAATATGTGCTGCTGATGTAAGTCCTTTTATAGCAGTTGCTCATTGTCTCTCTGTTTACTCTCGACTAATTGGTAAATAACACAGGATCGGCAGACATCGGGTTTCATTTATCTATTGACGTCGAGTATGTATGTGAAATAATGACCGATCATCTCGTTCCCTTCGAATTCGTCTTTTTTAAATGATTTTATTGTTAATGCTCATAATAAACAAACCAGTGTTGATGATGGTTAAAAAAAAGTTATTGAACGAAGCGAATCAAATTTAAATATTTTACAGGAATTAACTGGTGCACCAATTGATGTTGAAAATACAAAAGCTATTGTAGATAAAACTATTTTATTTGAATATGTTTTATTTGATTATTATTTGTTGATATTTTATTTATTTAATAGAGGTAAGTAATGAAAATAAAAATAAATCAAGATCAACCACAATTACATTTAATAATGAGATTTATAATAATAGTGACGAGACAAGTAAATTACAAAGAACGAATAGCACAAATTATGATTGGATGTCTT